TAATTGGAGCATACTAATATTAGTATACTAATATATGTAATGCTTTTCACAAGTAAAACATTCCTCAAAATTGAACGGTCCAGAAATTTGTCTGTAATTCTCTGAACGGGGTCTAATTTGTCATGTTATTGATGTACATATATATATATTGATACTATTGATAATAAACTATACATTGATGCAACAATATGACAGAGGTATAAGAGAATATTACAATGCAACTGAGTAAATCGAAAACCATTGTGAACAATATTATATTATCTAAGTACTAATTACGATAAAATATCACATAAATGTTAATTACATTTCTGATAACTACTGATATCAGAATCAGAATGCTACAATAATCAGAATGTGCCGTAATAGAAAAGAAATATTTACGACAAAAAAAAAATAGATCTTCAGTACGAAGAATTGTATCTATAAACATAGAAGTTGAATAAAGCTATCAAAAAATGAAATTAATTTCTTGTACCTTCAACAAAATGAATATCCAGAGCGATATATCGAAGCTATCAAATATATTTTGTTTCAAAATCTCTGTAATAGATCTAATATATTAGTAACTTTTAAACAAAATTATGAAAAAAAGTTCTTCGAAAACTTTCCAGCAGATGCATAAATGTCTGGTGTGATTCCCTCCTACTTTCACTGCTATTTATCTGGATTAATATTTAAATACTTGATTAATAGGCACTTGATTGAGTACTTAAGTAGTCATTCTATAATAAATGAGAAAGAAATATATGTAATAGAAATATATGTAATTTCTATGAGTAAACTTCGTCTTTCTTTAAATATTTAGGAAATTTGATATACATAACTACACACATACTACGGATATTAGGAAAATTAACAATATGACACCACCAGAACTTACATCTTTAATGCCATCATACTTTCTATCGTACAAGCCAAATAATCACACGGTAGTAAAGTGGGTCAACAAACTGGCTACATTTACCGTGAGTTAGAAAATTTTCACAGTTTTAGCTACTTCTACAATGTAATTCCGTACATTTTTAGTACAATTTACCTAAATATATACTCTATTGTAATTGATACTAAACTAAATTTGAAAAACTAAATTTTCTGCTAATCATAATCCCCAATAATGGATTAAGCATTGAAAGTAAATGAAAAGCTAGAAATCATATAAAGAAGTAAGGAAGCTACATTTACGCGTTGTAAACTTTAAATATTATAATCTTTTCAAAAGTATTCTTTATTAGTTAACTTGATAAATATGTAAATCGTTGCTTTCAAACACGTCTGCTCCATTTTTCTAATACCGATAAAATTACTTGACAGTATCGAATGCTTAATTTATTTAAAAGATTACGTTATTTTTTGGAGAATATTTAACGAGTAAGTAAGAAACGCAGATCTAATATATTTTTCTGTATTTTCAATATTGCTGTCATATAAATTTAAATTTTCGTACATCATTAATTTCAACATCCTGCGTATACAAAATCGTGATCCACATATTTTCAATGAACAGTCCCGGTTTAAATAGTTGGAAAAACAGAAAAGTTTACTCATATACAATCCAATTCCTAAGGCCTTTGAACTATAAGGCACGTTCTATTTTAACAAAACTGTTATGTTCATGTAAATTATGAATTTAACATCGCTTGTGCCGTTTAATAAAATCATTACTATATCACAATGCTATACTTTTTTTTAGCACTTAAATATTAAGTTGAGTGATATTTCTATATATCTTTGTTTGGAAGCAAAAATATGATAATATAAATACATTAAGTATCATAAAGATGTTTTAAGTGTCAATGTAAATTTGATAGGAACGTCAAGTTTTTACAAGAAACATTGTTCTAATAAGACTCTCGGCAGAGTGAAATCAAAAATGTGGTTATACTTTAAACTGTCAATTAGTCTCTTACGCAAGTACTTGGTATTCGCAAAAAGTTTAACGTTCAAATGTTTTTCCAAGGAAAATTTTAACCGTACTTAGATATTCAAAATAGAATAGTACAAAATTATCAACAACAAAACATTATTAATCAATCACTGTTTTCCTTTTGTTATACACGTTAATTGTTCACATTGTTCATTTATTTACCGTTTCCCTGTCGTTCCAGTTGAGAAATGTCGCGACAGACTGAAACACGCAAAGTACTATCGCGTCGACAACACGCGACAAACTAACATAAGGATTCGTCCGAGAAATGAAAGAGACGTTCTCCCGCAGTACCGTATCGGTGCCGTTCAAGGCTTGCCGATTATTCATCCGCTGGACAAACTTGTTAAAATACCACGATTCGTCGTCGTTCTCCGCTAATCCATTACGTAGCTATGTAGTAAAAAAGAACAATAACTCAACTTAAGTAAACTATAGGAAAGTGTCCGGTAGCCGTTCATTCGTATCGCTATGTGGATCATACTTATGTAAGTTTGCAAATCGAGAAGCGTTTATAGTCGTAGAAGCATATATTCCACCAAGAAATATAATTTATAGAAAAAGAAATTTAGCTCGGTTACGAATATTATTATCACTAATCAAGCTTTTATCCTCTAATAAATTATTTTCCACATTTTCAATGCGAAACAAATTTATAATTTACGAATAATCGGAATATAATTGACAATAGAATGTAATTTTCTTATATCTCATTTTAAATACATACTTCAACTCGAAACGTGTAATTTGAGAATAATCTTAATTATATCGTACAAATTATAAAAAATATTTCAAATAAATAATCAATATTTAAATATTGTTTCGATGAAAAAGTAATGAAAAATAGCATGCTTTCTACTTTCTCAAACAACAATACTTCCGGTGCAGAATTGCAACTTGGAATGGATTATTTAGTATTATCAACTCAAGAAACATTGTACAACTTACCTTTTGTGCCTTTTTAAGACGTTCCACTTTCCACGCGTTTCACTTTTTCCAATTTTTTTTAGAGAAGATTAAAGGAAATTTATTTCGAAATACTTTCGATACATTTCGTTGTAACACATATAAACGCAAAATTTTTTTTTAGGTCGACTTTATAGCAGTAGTTCAAACATAATTTACTAAACGATGGTGTCTTTTTTAAATATATCTACCAATTAAAAAGAGTTATATAAATAAATGAATAAACAGAGAAATTTTAAATAAAGGAAGAAACTGATAAACCTATAAAAGTTTATATCACGTCAGCTAACAATAATAAGAAAATATTACGAAAGTGAATAGAAAATACGACATGGCAGATTTCTCATAAGGTAACAAAACAAAGGAGAGAAAAGTAATATAAAATGAAATACGAAGTGTGAAATAAAACTTAATTGTAAACTGATTTATCGCTAAGTTAGTTAGTTCACTTCCCTTTGACGTAAATTCCAAGTGAAAGTTGTTAGAACGGCTGAACTGAAGATTGTATGCAAAGCATTTTCGTAGACAATTGCTCTTCTCCGTGAGACTTCTCTGTTATTTATGTTTTGATCAAGCATCGATTAATGTACCAACGACGTAACATGGTTTTCATGTGTTTCCTAATTACGCTGCTGGTCAAACTCTGTAATTCTACAAGTGCATCCTCCGATGAAAGAATGTGATCACGATAATAACACCAATTATACTACATTGAAACAACCAGGAAGGAAGTATATGAAAAATTAAATCGAAGATAGAACAAAATCTTTTTAATGATGAAAATAAGCATTTAGTTCTTAACTCTTCTATAAAATTTAGCTTCTATAAGATTACTGGTGAAGAATCTATAACGATAGAAACAATTTCGCTAATTAGAATATTCGTTATATCATTAGACACAACTATGGCTCCTGCACACTCACACAACATGCATTTTTATAGCCTTTAAATAATACACTCGCTCTCTAACGCTGGTACTCGATTCCTCTTAACAGGTTTGACTAGGCATCGTGCTGAGCGAGCAGTTGCGCGATTTCGAGGTCGATCGAATGCTCCGTATTATACAGCTTGCTTTCACTTTCACGATCGCTTACACCGCAGATGGTTTTACATGACAACACGGAATATGCAACGATATTATGCCCTTCTAACACAAACATTGAAGATAATTTTCTAATGCCATTTTATTGATCTGTTGTCACTATCTATACTACTTTTGTCATTTCAACAGTTTTCAGTTCACAAGATGTAGCATGTACTCTACAGGTGATTTTCAGTAAAAAAAGAAAATCACGTACAGTATACATTTTTTTATGTAGCAAAAGCTTATCCACGTAGGATGTAAGATCCATGTAGCTCGATTAATCAAGTAGTTTGGAGATTTTACACGACTGACAACTTTCATTATTTCTCTATTTATACAAATTCGCAAATTTCATTGGAACCGAAAATTTTGATAGGTTCTCTGTACAAATCAATGGATAAAATATAAAGTAAATTACTTAAGTTAAAAAATGAAAGTCCTAATCAACAACTATCGAATATTATCGCTGTTTATTTCTAGATTAGAATATCCCAGAACATGGATACCGATGTACTTTTTTTATATTTACACAATCCAAATACTTCTTATACTTCTTTATACTTCTTAAGACTGCAAGCCCTTAAGGTAAGGTGTTCGTTAATAGATTGAAAAATATAAAAGAAAAGGAACGCGTTAACACGATTAATATCATCGACTTCTTAGTTTGCTCAGTGTGCCATATAATTCTTACTACGAAAGAAACGAAGAATCATAGTAACTGTAAACCTGGTTTCACACACCAGATATGCGTATCGCGATACATACATATGGACATACATGTACTCCGATGGAAAAGTTCACACGACGATTCTCCTAAGATGCAATATCGCGATACTCATTTCGTGTATCTTGGCAACGATACTTTTCGTACGAGGGCGGCAGACAAAACATCGCTATACATGATATATCACGATACACGTATCTCTCTGTGAAACCGGCCTAAAAGCAATTTAGCAAATTTGTCGAAACTTTTTGAAGAGTAACGAAAAGTACGATGATCTCATTCGTGATAGCGCGCGATCATTGTGTTATCAAACAATTATCATTTATTGATTATTTCAACGAGATACAGGTGTACGTATCACCTATTGCTCTCTATAGTCCTTTGACAACAATTGTCCATTCTACTCAGGCGCAGTCAGCTGAAAACAACAAGGCTGTAGAAGAGTAGAAACTACTGCTAATTTCTGTAAGCGGTCCGTGCAGGAATAAAGTGCAACCTAAAATTCGATTTCGATATTTGCATCGTACAAATCGTATAGTGATAAACAAATTTTAAAGTAAACAAATACAAATAGATTCAAATAATAATCAACTGAATCGCAGATTTAACCTAATTTTCTATAAATTGCGGTTCAACTGAATTTTGTACCGTGTAAAAAAGACTTATACATTGTCACTTGACCATCAAATCCGCATACAATAAACTACTTGATGAAGAGACAAAATCTAGAAACGATAGATACACACAGAAAATATAAGGAAATTATATTATGGTGAAGTGGAAGGTCGGTAGTTCTAATATCGTTTTAAAGGTAGCACTTAATTTCCGGTGCTTCGAGCCGCTCTATAAAGATATTAGAATGACAAAGAGCCACCGTGTTACCGGTTCTTCGAGCAAAGCGATCCCCACGAGCGAATCGTGCATCCGCTGTCACCAAGTGGAAAGACATTATTAGCGTAAAAAGGAACAGGATGATGAAGGATTCTTGCGCAACGTAAGATACAGGTGTATCGATATACACACAGAGCCAGCTAAGCATTCTACGAACGATCGAATTGTTGAACGAGAAAAAAAGAAAGGCACCGACTTTTATACCGCTTTCAGCAGCATTTGAAACATTCCAAAGTAAATTATTACATTACAAGTGTCGCCTCGATTGGCAAAATTCTGAAGGCTATTTGACGAAAACAATAAATTTGAAATAATAATAGAATAACAATAATAGTAATAGTGATTGATGATGATGATGATGATGATGATGATAACAATAACAACAACAACAACGACAATAATAATAAAACAAAATAAAGGTCAGGAATGAAAAAGTTGTTTTATTCGCAAAAAACTTCGGGAGAATTTTCTCGTTCCAACATTTCGAACGATCGAGTCAGTTAACACGATTTACCCACGACTCATTATCGATTACAATTGATATTGTTTCTCGGTCCAGCCACGCGTCCACGCAGCCAAGGTTATGATAGTTCCCAATCTATTTTATCTCTAATTTACCAATTGCATTTTGCAAACTAAATTTTACTTTCGAACAAGTGGTCGTTTAAAAAAATATGATCGATGTAACGTATATAGGATTAACTATCGATTCAACGACAAAATATTGAATAACATACAGAAAAATATTTCAAAATTCTAATTAATATAATTGGGAATAAAACAAGTACCTCGACTTTAGGACGGTAGGTCCAAACAATCGCCTGCCTTCAGGCAAGGGACCCATAAGGTCCAACAGCGGTCAGAGCTGTGATTGGTTGAAACAATATGTGGCTATCGCCCGCCATTCTGGGACAAAATTTATCAATGTACCTCTTCTATCATTTTTATCTTTTTACCTAGAACTTGTATTGTGCAATGAGAGGAAAATATAAATGAAGTGAAATACATACGTAGATTGAACCGTTTCGTCTATGTACATGTACGTAATAAGATAGTAATAAAAAAACGACAATAAGAAATAATATACGCGTGCATGTATTAAAATCAGTTACATATGCGATACACGTATTAAGTATATTTTCGTTCTAGCGGAAAGAGAAATATGTTGAAAGGAAATAGTTCCCAGAATGACAGACTATACCCAATCTTTCGAACTTTCCACAGAACGTCTTTATTCGGAACAAGTTGATAATGTGACACTCAATAAATAACAGAACTTCTACATGTCCAATTCTGTCGTCAGATTGTCCTGCCGAATCTCACAATCAAAACGAAATAAAAGAAACAATGTCTGGCCGTAGTTGAACAGCCTCGAGAGACGTGAAACGATTTTCGAGGCTGGGAGTGTTTCCGCAGCACTGAATTCTATCGGCCTGTTAAAAGTAGACACGGTAGATCACCTCTGATTCCGATGAAACGACAGCAGAGCGGAAAGACACGATTCGGAAAGACAACCCCTGAAAATGAAGTATATTCATAACGATGCGTAGTTGTTTTAGGTACGTACACGTGTTGTACGGCGCGGTATGCTGTTTCATAATTTTTCTCGAAGTAATGATAGAAGTCGAGAGAAAGAATAGACAAACAGGGTGCCTACTGAGGTGATGAACCTTTAGGAAGTGAAAAAAGTGATTTAGACGAATTCGTATTTTCACAGTTAAACCAACTGAATTACAATTAACTTTGTACAATAATTCATAATCTCTATTATCGTCAACATACAGTAAGGAGAAAATATCTCCCCCATGGCTTTAGTTTGCAGCCTCCTCTTGCACCGTCTTCGCCACACTTTCGTAATACGTTTACGTGCCCGATTTCCGTTTCTCTGAAAGCATGAAACGTATAAAAAGTTCAAGCTGTGGCGATTAAAATCTTCGTAAATAAAGATCCAATCACCGCCAACCTACGGTACTATCTAATTCCACAAATAACATATTTCCTTTTTCTCGTCTCATAATTTATCGCAAGTAATCGTTATTAAGATTGTAATATACTAACTTAAATATATCTACAATGGTTTTGCATAAAGATGGTTTCGTTTTCCTATCAATAGACACCCTGAAGAAACAATAAAATGATAAAAGAGAAAATAAAGAAATAATAATAATAATAATAATAATAATAATAGTAATAATAATGTGGAAGAGACAAAGAGAGAAAATAGGAATTTTTCCGATGAATCGAGTCTTATCCGATCGTAGAGAGTTTGTTGTTTAGAACGAAACTCAACGCTAATATATTTGATTACTAATATATATACCTGCTGAATCACTGAAATCACTGTTTCTATACACATATGTATAAATAACAATGTCGAAACAACTATAAATACTCGACGATCGGAACATCGGTAATTTGACTTAGGGTAAAGTAAAGAAAAACCGGTGTGAGTCGAGTGTAGAGAGAGCTGATATCGGTTTTCCTGAGCACCCTCTGTACTTACCACTCACTCATGTGTTGCCAACACGTTCCTTGCAAAGGAAGAGGGCTTCACAGATCGAATCGATCACTTCTACTTCTTGTCAGGACCAACAAATTACAATCATAATTTAAACATTATCATAATTTAAATTGCACAAACTTCGAGAGATAATCATCCCGTAATATTACTTGCTAACTACAAGTTACGTCATGAATATGTTAGCCAGTCACTTATAATTCTATTCTAAATGAAACCAAAATGACAGAAGCAAATATTTTACATCTGAATAACGATCAACTTTTTATCATTTCGTTTTCTTCTCAACATGCAAACGTCACAATGTGATAATATCTTAGTACGGTTTCTTCGATCATATCTCGTAATTCAATTCATATAATCAATTTCGGATTTCTATAACGGAACAATTTAAAAGCAATATCATCAAATCGTCGAACTTTATTTCAGTAAAAAATTTAGTCAGGACTTTATAAAGAAGAATCAAAAATATTTTCTGTAATATGGAAACAGTATACTGTTTCTATGTATGTTAACAAATAAAATAATGAAATATAAACCGGAAAGAAAAAATTGATTTTATTACCACGGATTCGAAATATATAATTTCATTTTATCATATTTTTTGTTTCTTGAAAGGGAGAAGATTTAAGTAATAAAATATTAAATTATACGTTATTTTTGTAAAAGATGACAATAAATGAATTTATCTAAAGTTTCCAGATAGAATTACACATTATTTAAACAACAAGGTAAAATTATTTGTTTAATTAACGTTAAAGTATGTAAACAAGAATTCATTTTAATTTTAATTTCTACTTCTGTAACAACTATTACAAAAAGACAAGAGAAAATAACTCGTTAGGTATAAGAAATGATTTAATAAATCAAAAATAAAACCATAAAAGATGATTGAATTTTGTTCAAAAATGTGTAAAAATGTGTAAAAATGTGTAAAAATGTGTAGAGATAGATATCTAGATATAAAAATATAAAAAGTTAACCGCGTAGATTCTTAAAATATTTGCTTCTATCTTTGCTGATTCTCTGAGGAAACAATTCAGATTTCTGGTTTGCACAAACAAATATTGCAACAACCTTTGTTTAAACCAACTCTTCCAAGATTTCAACTATTAATTTCTGGATTACATATTATTTTGAAACAAATAAATATTTTAATAAATTTTAATTTATAAATAAAATTAATTTAATTATAAATATTTAAATAAATTTTTGCTTTTTGCTATTTTAAGATATCAAGGTACACATACTTAAAACAACTATTAGTTTTGTGCACTTTTTCACATTAGAAAAAAATAGTTTTTCATATTAGAAATAAATTATTTTTTTAAGTTATTATTTTTATTTAAATATTACGATAGAAATGCAACTGATTTTAAAATGTTATTCTTTCGATATTATTCAGTATCTAAATCAACTTGTATCTTTTCATTTCACTTGTATCTTTCTTTCTTTCACTTGTATCTTCTACAAATATACAAGTAAAAAGATATAGCAGTGTTTCGAAAAAATACTAATAATTCTTTGAAATCTCGAGAAAAAGATTTTAAACAAAATTTTATAGTTATAGTTGCTCCCTCATCTCGGTCAATCTAGTATATAAATATTTTTCATGTAGTTAATAACAATGGAAATATTTAAAATATGCAAGCTAGATGATACAGTGGCATACGCACATATATGCATATGTTGCCAAATATTACGAAAATCTACATATTCTTCACGTGAAAATAAAATATCTTATGAAAATTCACTATTATAAGTAAAAGAACATGAAAAAAACAAATAAAGACATCATAAAAAAATGTAAACAAAGAATATATGAATGAACTTATATCGAAAAAGTAAATCGATTCGATCTGGGGCGTTAACAAAATAAAAGTTGTGATAAACTAACCTGAGGCGACAGAATATTCACACTGCGGCTTGTATCTTCTAATATTCTTGAAACACGGAAATCAAATAAGACGATTGATATGTTACAAAGCATATAGAAATCAAGAGCTGCACACGGTTAATGTGTGTGTGTGTGTGTGTGTGTGTGTGCGCGCGCGCGCGTGTGTGTGAGTGTGTATTTACATACATATACATATAGGTACATATATGTACATAATACACACTTAGTAAAACGGATAAAATTGGATTTTGGTTAAAAAAAAAAAAAATGGATTGAAATATTTGAGTCAAGCAATCTCTCCCCTCTTTCTCTCTCTCTTTCTCTCCCCCTCTCTCTCCCTCTCTCCCTCTCACACGCATACACACACACGCGCGCACTCTCTTTCTCACTTTCTCTCTGTCTCCCCCGTTTTCTCAGCTGCAGTGTGAAACGCCACCTTTCCGCGATCGCGTCTCTCCAAGAGAACACTGGTGCAGAGGCTGAGAAACAGCGCGTGGAAACGGTCTACCGTAAAATAAAAAGACTGCCGAAATTCTTATATAAGTTCGTTCTACTTAGACGAATCAGCTGAAAGCCTACACACCTTCCAAAACTGATTTCACAATCGCGTATCGCGTATCGCGATCGCGATGAGCAACGTAAAATTCCTTATACGTGACTTTGCAACGATAAAGTTTCTGTATTAGTAGCGTACGAGTTTTCTACGCAGAAGCTTTCGTGCTCATTCAGCCATTAACAACATTATACCACCCCATCCTTTTCAATAACTACAATTTCAATACCAGGTACTCAGATAATGTAACAACAAGTATCCATAAAAAGGGTAATCCGAAGGATCAACATTTGATACCTTCTAGACAAACAACAAAATTATTTTCATTATAGAAAAAAAGAGTAGATGTCGTTGCTCACCTGAGATTTTAAACTCCTTCGGGAAGAAATTACGACGTTGCGCAGATATCACGCGCACGACCACGCACCATGTATAAAAGTTAAAAAGGTTTGTTATTTGATAACTTTTTACTGGCAGAGAAAGTCTGGAAAAAGAACGACTGACCGTTTCCACTGCACCTGGTAAACCCTCTCAGGCACTGACGTGATGTGGTTTATAATGATATTAGAAAAAAAAACAAAGATTTTGCTAACTTCGTGTAAACTTCGTAGGAGGGGATGCGTCAAGTGCAGCCGCGGCCGATCAACGAAGTGTGCCCACGTGAGCTAACGTGTTTTACGCGTGCTTGTCTCTTCTTCTCAGTCAGGTCCGGACCCTAATAAAATTTAGGGGCGGGCCCAGAGCACGAAGTGCAATGGCGGAGTGGGCCCGTCCATAGGAGGTGATCATCTGAAGCGTGGATGCATCATCGGAGCTAACATTGGTGCACCAGGAAACCCCATTGGAGCTGCGAATGCCGGATGCATCGCTCCTGGCGGCAAAGCTCCGATCATCCCTGTAAACGACAATTTCATCGTCAATTTCATATATCCCTGATAATTCTATCATTTCCTCTGCCATTCCTTTTTTTTACATCTCTTATATCACAGGTTTTCAACAATCTGTAAAAATCTTCTTATGATACTTACGTTGGGAGAATACTCGTCAAATATAAATAAAATGAAATTACATGTGAGTCTGTGTATCTATGCGTAAGCGCACGCGCATGCGCGTATGTTACGAACGCACACATTCTTCTCCTCTCTTTATACTCCATCTTCTTTCTCAAATTCGGTTAAAATTTTATATTTATTTCTAGAGATTTCTTTTTAGAGATCGCGCCTCGTCATTCGGTAGAAAAGTATATCTCGCAAAATAGTTACGAAATTTGTAAAAGATACTTTCAAATTTAACCATCGATTTATTAACGTTATCTTTTTTCAATAAAAATTATATATATATATATTAATTACGATACGTTCTAATCTTATTTCTTTCAATGCATTTTGAATTAATCTAGAAGAATTGTTATCCTTCTGGACGGAAAGTTGTCTGACAGCCGGTCGATAGCACTTCCTCGCACAACATTCGCAAACAAATTTCTTAATAAATCAAAAGATTTCGACGATAAATTCACATTTAGGTTAAATTGTTAGACAAATTTTTAAAATAGAACCCAAGGTAAAACAAACAGAAAGAGAGTTCAAAATACCAAGTGGTATTGTCCTTGAATTAACTTGTATTTGTCCGATACGTACTCTTTTGCAAAATGATCAAATCATATAGTCTCAAGTTTTCTAGAACTACATTATATACCCAGAAGGGTTTATTATTTGCAGCACACCTACGTCTATCTAACATTTTATCAATGCAAATGGTCAAACTATATGAGGAATCGAGCTCAGCATGCAATGTGCCGCATATGCAATACAAGTCACAACAAAATCCTAAAAGTGATACCACGTAAAACCTCACACCATAAACGAGAAGTTTCACTTGACGATTACAGTTTTCATAATTTAAGCGAATCGCTCGGCTGCCAGCCGAACTTTCAGCCACTAGATATGATAAAAAAGCATCTACGAATAAATACAGGATGATAAAATAGATATTAAACGATAATTTTTCTTTTCTACAGTAATTTTAAGTATAACTTTTATTAATTTCAAAGAATTGTAATAATGTGAATGCATGTTGTATATTTTACTTTGTATATTTTATATATATATATAGGGTGACTACAAATCTCTGCCATTTGAAATAACAGCCAAACGGTAGATGACATGAAAAGATGTAAATTTTTTGTATTGTTTTTCACATGGGTTATGACGATTTAAATAAACAAGTTTTCGTTTAAAATTTCCAAAATTATTTTAAGGACATTTTGCATTTTTTAAATGGGATGTCATACTTCTGTTTTCATATGATAAAAGAGTAAAACACAATGAATTCAAAACGCTACTTTCAAATGATCTTGAATGAATGTAAGGTCGTAATAGAGAAAATGTTGGAACAGACAAGGATAGAGTTTTTTTTCATCTTTCACTCCCTTTGTTTGCATTGTACGTTCAAAATTTGCACATCACTTATTAAATACAGCAGTATTATGTTTGAAAACGAAAAGCAACTATTTATGTTGGATACATTTATTCTAACACGTGGAAAATCATTTACTTTAAGCGAAAGCGAAGTAACTATAAACTGGTCCAAAAATTTTTACAATAATTTCCAATCTGTTGTGACAACATTCGTTACATTCGCATCGCTTTAAAATTATGAATCTAGCTACACAAGTTCCCAAGCTGTGGACTGGATGTAATAGAACACAATAATTGGCCTGCGAGATGACCGGGTTTAATACCTTAGATTTTTTTGTGAGAATATATTGTGGATACATGAAAAATATGAAGAGTCGAATTACGGGTGCGTGTGCAAATATGTCACAACAAATAGTTATTTTTGCGCAGAAACAAAGTAAATAAAAAGTCAAACTTGTCCGTTTCTACAATATCATCTCCATTGTGACTTTCCATTGATTCAAAACCACATGAAAGCGTTTTGAATTTGACTTTTGCTCTTTTATCGTATGGCATATGGCGGTCCATTTAAAAGATGCAAAACGGGCTCCAAATAACCTTGAAAACTTTAAACGAAAAATTTATCATATACATCATAATCTACGAAAAAAGAACAATAAAAAAACGTTCTTACATTTTTTTGTATATTTCGTAGACACCCTGTACATAATAAGTCTTTTTGTATTATTCAAATTCAAATTTCTATTTTTCAGAAATTTGTTTTGCTTATAATTTTATTCTAATCAACAGTATTCACTCTTACGTGATATAACTCCGAAAAAATTGAAATCCCCTTATTCGTCAATTAAATTAGACTGTCTCATCATCGTCTATCATTTGATATACGTATAAGAAACAGCTGCATTTAGGTTTATGTACGAGTTATACTTTTGTATATATTGGATAACGTGAAATTATTTACTTACTGTAACTTGACTTGAAATATCTAAGATCATCTGTGTGACACAAAAGGTAGGCTATGGTGTGAGGGAGATACATTACGTTCGTTCTTGTTGCGTCTCTTTTCTATTATAATACACGCAACAACAACAAAAACAGTGACAATAACAAATGATCCCTTCCTTCGTCTTTTTTTGTTGTAATATACTTCATATATATTTCATCTAAAAAATTTGTTTAAAAAGGTAAGAGAAGTTTTTGTAAAAAACGATATTGTTTAAAAAGGTAAGAGAAGTTTTTGTGAAAAACGATATAGAAGAACAAATTTGTTGATATCAACAATGCTGATATAATAATAAATAATATAGAACCATCAAAGTAGCAATTCATATTTTACTTTTAATCTGAAACTAAAAAAATTTGAAGCCCTTGAAGAAATATAAAGAAGGAAGGAATAGTTATCATCAAAATTATGTATCAGCTTTTTGTTTTTTCTGCTTTTTCCCCCTTTCTTGTTTTCCTTATCTTTTACTTAGAATAACAACTTCGAACGACTGTCAGTACCGTGCCCAAAAAGCGGTTTTTTCACTACTATATCACAACACCAGGATTTCATATATAAACATGAGAAGGTAGGATGATAAAACACGGTTGGCGAGATAATGGCAAGTGAGTCCTAAGAAGAATATGGTTAAGTCGAGATAGTGAATAATGAAGCTAGTGGAACAGAAAAGAAAAAAAAATTGTATGTACGATGAACCAGCCGAGCGGCCGAAAATCGAATTAATTTCACATTGCTTTTACCGATCGATGAATATATATGTATATATATAACGCGTATTTCTCTATCGTAGTTGAAAAGCAGGCATATGTATATGTATGTATATTATACACATATGCCTGCTTTTAACCATAAATCTAGTGTGATCGTGCTTCTGATACCGAGTACACTAGTTTCAAGAAGAGGCATTTCACGTCCAAATAGTCGTGTGTCCAAAATTAAAGTGTTGCTGTCCGGCGTTGAAGGAATCAGAACAGATGCAATATCGTTGGCCGCTCGACCCACCTGCCCAGTGACAATAATATAAATATACAGAAATATATATATAGATATATTAATGTGACAATGATGACAATAATAATAACAATAATAATATTAATTAATAAGAATAATAAAAAATATAATGATGTATATATAGATATATATAAAGAGAAATAGATAATACATATATATTATATATATGTAAATATGAGTATATATCATATATATTATATATATATCTGTGTGTGTATACATATATATATGTATACACAGATAAATAAATAGATAGATATGCCAGTTCACTGCATGCTAATTGCTAAGGACCAACCTTGTTGCGTTTGTATAATACACGGTTTTAGTAACCAGACTGGGTTCGTTCAACACTCACCAAGGAGTGACTGGGCGCCCTGCAAACGCACCGTTAAAACATAAACGTACAAGACACTCTGTCGTTGATTTTGGCATACGGATGAATTCTAAACATGCTAATATCAGAACGATCATATTTAATTTCTCCTCTTTTTTCCTTTAATGTTCTTGTGTTTAATATATTTTTTGTATACCTGATAAAAATTGACCCCCTTCCCCAACACTATTTTTGTCTTCTGTGACTCTCATTCATCTATAACACATTCTTAACCGTTGGGCAAGTTTAATTTTTTCTTGGGAACAGAGGGTAAGGGCTGCATAGTAATAGATGATGTGCAAAGGTATATTATACTGCATGTCAGAGGAAAACATTTTGTCTTAATGATCTATCTATATGTTTACTAAATGCAACCTCCAGCTTTTGGGCAAATTTATCGTCTGAATGAAAATTTATTGTCTTATACCATTAATTAAAAAACATTTAGTGTTTCCTATATTAGTGCTAATATGATCATTTTATAGCACAAACAAGAAAGTTATTGGCTTAAGCTGTTTAGTAAAATCTGCTATATATTTGTGACTAAGAATATATATTGTATATATATATATGTATTCCATAAGATGTATATGCAATGCATTAGGTACTCTTGATATGTTAATCCTATTGCATCTATACATAGATATTTACACATTAATATGTTTTACCTCAAATACTTTAAATATGGTTCCATACCATTTTTGAAAGAAGTAAATATCGAAGTGTTGAAGAAATATTAATTTATGTTAAAAACTATTATGGAAAAAGAAATAATTTTTTATCTTAACTTCACTTAATGTAGTGCAATAAAATTGCATTGGACAATTACTCAATACATCTCAAATAATTCTAAATATGATACTGGAAGGGACACAAAAATAATTTGATACAAATTTGATAATATTTACGTAGATTAATGAATATCGATGAGGTGCTCTCGTTGAAATAGAGATGAGTATTTAAAATTATAGAGACTTACCTGGTGGTAGGCCCATGGGGGGCGGTCGCATCATGTTACCTCCATGAATCAGAGCAGGTGCAGCTAGGGTCATAGTGGGCCGCATAAGCGGTGCCATCAGTGCAACGGAACTAACAGGCATTGCTGCAGATGCAGGAACCATTACTGCTTGTGGAGGTCGCTGAAATCTCTGCTGTTGCTGCTGAAGTGCATTTAATGCCGCTTGTTGTCGCTGTTGCTGATCCTGAAATGCAGCAGCTGCATTAGCAACAGCAGCTTGTTGTTGCTGTTGCTGCTGTTGTTGCTGCTGCTGCTGCTGTTGTAATGCAGCAGCTTGCTGATTGGCATCAGCAGTTTGCACAGTTCGAGTTTCTTGCGTTTGTCGCCGCTGGTATTTTGGAAGTCTTGCTCTAATTTCCTCCTATAACATATAATTTTTGTTTTCGCTTTCTATATTTACTATTAGCATATAAGTAATAAAAATAGTCAACATACTAGGCTGAGATCTTCTGGCGGATGAATAATTTTAATGGCAGCACTAGTAGTGGCTATAAGATTTACTTTTTGATCACTACCAATATTATTGTTAGTAGTGGTACTACTATCTGTATTACTATATGCAGGGAATGTTGGCTTCACAGGTCCTATAGATCCACCAGCCACTGACGTAATTGGTTTAAAATCTGTACCCAAAGGAGAAGTCACAGATGTAGACGCAGTTGTTGAAACAGCTGCAGCACTTGGAAATAATGGTCGTGTTGGTGGTATGGATGCACCAGATACTGGTGGTTGTATACCTGGAGGCATACCCGGCATTCCAGGCATCATACTATAAAAAAAAGAAAAAATTTATTGCTTTATCCTATTATTTCCATACTTCTTCTATTAATATATATATATATATTCTATTAATATATATATATATATATATATATAATGTATATATATATATATATATATATATATATATATGAATTTAAAAACTTTAGATTGTATTTACCTAACTTGTATTAAATTAATATCAGATATTTAACTCTTCTTTCGCGTTGTCTGGTTTAAAAAAAATAAGTTATACATACCCAGGACCCATGAAAGGTGGACCTACAGGACCCATAGGTCCCATCATATGATGCATGGGTGGTGGGAACGATCCCATTGGTGGCATACCAGGATGAGCTGCCATACCTGGCATTACACCTGGCATCATGTTGGAACCTGTAGGCATTGCTCCTGGTGCAGAACCTAATAAACCTTCTGGTTTTGCTTTTTTTCGAACTGGTTCATCTTCACCAGAACTTGGTGAACCAGGTCTACCTCCATTCCTCTGTCTTTCATGTTCTTTTGCATCGTTTGGTGGTATGCCTTCCATACCATAAATTTCTATTTCAATATTGCTTCGATTCGGCAAAGAATTAGGTACCTTGTCTATCGCTTCTTTATGTACCTAAAAAATTGGGACAATATTGTAATCTTTTGGTATCTATGTACCTTCAAATTTTTAAATTATATAACAATATATTCATGTATTATATAGCTAATAATATTACCTGCATACAATGTATACTAAGTCCTGGTCCCGTATAAAGCTTCTTATGACATATGTGGCATTTGAAATGTTTTGCTTTCTGGTGTTGTATAAGAATCTTTTCATCTTCAAATTCTCTATTACAATACCTTAATAAATTGGTTAAGTACAATATGAAAGTATAAAAATAAAAAGATATCACTCAATAACCTGGATAATTAACATAGATGTATTCAAAATACATATCTATTGCGTATTTTTATATCAACCATTTTTAATTCATCTATAAGATTGATACAAATGTAATAATTTATAACAATAAAAATAATATAATTTGCCATGTGTTTAAACATATGCGCATGTCTGACATTAGTATTAATTAAATGCTACATAGTAATAAAATGAAAAAAAATTTGGATTGATATATTTTTAAGTCTTCAATAATTTAATTTGTATGAAATTATATAGCAAATATGAGTTATTTATGAAGCTATAAATTTTATTATTTCTCATATAATCCGAATTTAAAAACTTTAGATTGTATTTACCTAACTTGTATTAAATTAATATCAGATATTTAACTCTTCTTTCGCGTTGTCTGGTTTAAAAAAAATAAGTTATACATACCCAGGACCCATGAAAGGTGGACCTACAGGACCCATAGGTCCCATCATATGATGCATGGGTGGTGGGAACGATCCCATTGGTGGCATACCAGGATGAGCTGCCATACCTGGCATTACACCTGGCATCATGTTGGAACCTGTAGGCATTGCTCCTGGTGCAGAACCTAATAAACCTTCTGGTTTTGCTTTTTTTCGAACTGGTTCATCTTCACCAGAACTTGGTGAACCAGGTCTACCTCCATTCCTCTGTCTTTCATGTTCTTTTGCATCGTTTGGTGGTATGCCTTCCATACCATAAATTTCTATTTCAATATTGCTTCGATTCGGCAAAGAATTAGGTACCTTGTCTATCGCTTCTTTATGTACCTAAAAAATTGGGACAATATTGTAATCTTTTGGTATCTATGTACCTTCAAATTTTTAAATTATATAACAATATATTCATGTATTATATAGCTAATAATATTACCTGCATACAATGTATACTAAGTCCTGGTCCCGTATAAAGCTTCTTATGACATATGTGGCATTTGAAATGTTTTGCTTTCTGGTGTTGTATAAGAATCTTTTCATCTTCAAATTCTCTATTACAATACCTTAATAAATTGGTTAAGTACAATATGAAAGTATAAAAATAAAAAGATATCACTCAATAACCTGGATAATTAACATAGATGTATTCAAAATACATATCTATTGCGTATTTTTATATCAACCATTTTTAATTCATCTATAAGATTGATACAAATGTAATAATTTATAACAATAAAAATAATATAATTTGCCATGTGTTTAAACATATGCGCATGTCTGACATTAGTATTAATTAAATGCTACATAGTAATAAAATGAAAAAAAATTTGGATTGATATATTTTTAAGTCTTCAATAATTTAATTTGTATGAAATTATATAGCAAATATGAGTTATTTATGAAGCTATAAATTTTATTATTTCTCATATAATCCTCCAATTTAATTTAATAATTCAATGAAGATCAAGAAATAATTATTTTTGTACTTTTATAATAACATCTTAGAAGGTTCTCTTTAAACAAGATATAACATAGGATTGTATATAGGATATATAAAAAATGAACGATGTAATTAACACTGTTAATTCATTATAGTTAGCTTCAAATCCAAATTTTGTTTCAATGATTAAAAAAAGATATTTATATATATATATATATATAGATAATTATTACATATAATCTTCCAGAAATGTATCAAACATAACACAGGAATATATAATAAAATATATGTATATAAATGTTGATTTTTAAATTAATTCTTTTTATTGTATTTGATGGGATGAACATAATCGAAATAATATAAAAATAACTTTTTAATTTTAAATCTTTTATTACTCAAATTTTCTTAAAAAATAAAAATAAATATTTGAACATTATTTCATAGTAATAATTAAAAATGTATATCTTTTCTTTTACTTTACTAAATAATATAGCAATTCGTCCAAAATAAGATATCATAAGGAGTATTTGTGAGATTTTTCTCAACAAATACTTTACTAATATGACATTGAACAATCTATTATATTTCGTATATATAAATACCTTCATAATTACGAAAAAAATATAGTCAAATATAGTTACTAACGAAATATCGATTTCTCACGTATTCAGCCACTTTAACTCGTCACAGGCTTTTACTGAGCGGGTTAAAAATGTTCTACGATAAATTAGATACTTTCGAATTTCCAACTAAGATCTAGCAATAAGATATGATACAAACATTAGTAGAATGTTAGAATACTTAAATTCATACGATTATAAGAATAATGTAATTGTAATTTTGATTTATGATCTAAAAATATAGTTACGTAAAATATCCTCTAATAAAGGATATTTTAAAAAAGGATACCAGCACCAGGGTCTTGATTGCTTCTTCTTTTTGCGTCCCATATTCTCTTATCAACTTTTACCAATTAAAAATTAATAAAAATATGCCACTAAATGTTTTACGCCCACGTAGTAAGAATTCAACTCGCAAAGTAACTGCAGTGCACACACACGACGTAAAAATCGACGATGTAAAATGGCGACTGCATCTTTTCCGTATTTGACGGAAGGAACTATAACCAATAGTATTACTTAAAAATAACTAGTTTATACGACTAAATTTTCCCTAACGATATTTTAGGTGAACATGCTTGAACAGAGAGGAAATTTTATTTCTGGCTTGAATAAGAACAATCACAAGCATACTATAGTACTAAACTATTTATGTTCCTCATTGAATAAACACGAAAAATCATTGTTAATAAGCAAAAGCTTTTTCTTTGTACAATTTAAAACCGTTTTATGTAAACACATTATGATCTGAAAAAACACTATATTTGCATTTAAAAATAAATTTTTTCCTTATTTAAAATATTACTTATTTACAATTTTTAAACATGTAATTTGTCAAAACAATTATTTAAGTAGAAATTTATCCATACTATTTTATAATAATCATTTCATAATATTTCAATTTCTTTTAAGTAGGTTTTGATATTGTTGTCCTGTTTATTCCATCAAGTATGTTATATATGTTATAATATATATGTATATGCATAAAATTATATACAAATATTTATGAAGATATACAAACTACATACATATATACAAATCAATGTTTCATATAGTAACATGAACACATTCTACATAAATGCGGATAATATATGTATTTATAATTATTAATTTAATATCGTGAAAAGCAAAATAATCCTAAAACGACAAATTAAACAAATGAAAAAATAAGTATATATATCAATCTAAAAAATATTAATATAGATGTTATCATCTATAATCACATTTTATGTTTATGTCAAAATAAAGAATAAAATCTGATAATTTTACAATGACGATCATTTTAACATAGTTTCAATATGTTAAAAATATAAATATAGAAGTATTTTATAAACAATAAGAGACCTCCGTTAGCTGCAAATCCTTTGTTTCAATGGAAGATCACTTTCTGAATCACTGGATTCATTAGTAGTACCAGGTTCATCATCTGAAGAAGAATAATCCTTTTGTTTTACTTCTACATTCTCTTGGGTTCTCTTAGGCTATAAAATAATAAATTTCATTAATTGTGTTGGTAAATTCAATCAATATATATGATTGAGGAAAAACTAAATTTAATTGATACCTTTGGCCAATTTTTAGCAGGCCTTTTTGTAGTATTAGTTTTTGGAACATATTTGTCAGCAACTCCTTCGACACGCCTAATATCAAAATCTTGATCTACTTTAGTTACAGTTTGCAATCTTTGTTCTTCGGATGTTACATATAAATCATCTGGTTGATGATAACTGTTATGCGTTTCATATGCTCTTTTACTGCAAAATAGAGCAGCGCATACTGTACATTTTATTAAATCTTCTGGAACAGCTTCTCTTTCTTCCTATTAATTATAAAAGTAAAATGTTAAACATAATGCACCTGTAACAAAATTTGCTTATTTAATATTTATTTATATTGCTTTACTTGAGTATGAGCTCTTTCCAAATGTCGCTGCAAATTGAATTTTATAATATATTCAGCACCACATAAATGACAGTAATACACGCTGAGAGCATCATTCATTGAATTTACTTTGATTTTATTGCTAGGAGGTGGTGTTGCTATTGGTTGAAATAAATGTACCATCCTATAAATTAAATTATTAGATACAATTAAAAATTATTTAAAAATAAAAATCATAAAAAATATTATAGAAAAGATTTACAACCTTTTATGTATAGAACGATAATGATAATCTAAAGCTTTTTCATTATAAAACAATACATCGCATTCTTCACATTTCTTATGTTGTTCTTTTCTCTCACTTTCAGATGAATCATGTGATGCTTGATGATTATCCCTGTGTGTCTAATAAAAAATGAGTAGTTTATAAAATTAAAGGAGAAATATATATTATGTAGAAATAGAAACATACTTTTAGAGGAAATTGCATCCCACAATAATGACAATAAAATTTTGTTGGAGAATTAGGATGGACTTTAAATCTATGTCGTATTGTTGCACTAATTGAATCAAATGCTTGACCACATACATCACATTGGGTATCATCGTTTTTGCTTCTTTTGACGGGTTTACCACGAGTATCTATTTCTTTGTTGGCATGTTTCCTATGTACACAGTATATTCACATGTAATTAAATTTTTTATTTCTAAAACATCATTTCAATAACAAACTCAATAAAACTTGTTTTAATTTTGTTTTCTTCTTTTTTTAGTAATGAATTATTAGGAAATCTATGAACAAAACAAAGTTTGACATATTATATCAAAATTATATACTAGAATTTAGGGAAACTGAACAATTTCTCTTCCTCTTTTACATGCATGTATAAATTTATCTTATAATAATGCACTATTAAAAAAAATCTTTCTCTTATGAATATAAAATTTCAATTGTTAGTAATAAAATCATAATAGCTAACATATAGTTAAACAAAATATATAAATCCAATATATAGCCAATATTTAAAATACTTAATAAATCATTTTTTATAATAAAAAAAGATTTAAGGAGCTTCACATTCTTTGATAATACTGTTTCTGTTAATTTTCTAACTTGCTAACATTCGTTTTGCAATACAACTAACAAAATGATATGAAGAAGTAAATGTGTCATAAACTAATCTGTTAAATATTTAATGGAATAAAATATAGAATATAGTAATATTTCATGTATTACATTTTGCTTATATATTTATTTGATCATAAAATACAAGATAATCTTTAAATGAAATAAATATTTATGAATTTTGTCGACCTAAAACTATTAAAATCTGCAAAAACGAAAATGCAAAATTTAAAGTTAAATATATCATTTTAAAGTAAATGTAATTTTAAATATTATTATAATAAAATTGTTCTAAACTTAAATATTATTTTAATCTTCAGATGATGAAAACGGAAGTGAATATAAAATATAATTAACAAAATAAAATATATTTTTCATATAAAATATATTGTTGACTCATCTTACATTATTAGTTATTAAGTAATAACTATGCTAAATTTTAAATAATGTAACAATTATTTAAAACATTTTCCAAATATTTACTATCAATCTAATTAAAATTTTATTTACACAAAGGGCAAATTATATATATTTATACAATGTTTCTCCGAAAAATGTTACTTTTTAGTAAATGTATGAATAATCTAATAGAATCCATCACAGTTAGTAAAAATTTGTTTAATTCTATGTTGTATATAATTATTTGTAATTACATCATTGTAACTTGTGTTATTATTATAATTATTATCATAATAAAAACACCTTTATACCGAAAGCAAAAAAGAAAACGCAAGCAATTGGAAAAATAGCGCGAACAATACTCTATCGGTAATATAGCTGAATATTATCATTAACGTATTTAAAAATATTTTTATTTATTATAATGTTTTTATTTCGGAATGTGCATTGGAATAGGATGGAAAAATAGGTTGTACGTATAAAAATATCTTTCTTTTATGAAATTGCTTGCTTGGTTATGAACATATCAAATAGAATAGTTTCTTTTAGTACCTAAAATGCTCCTGCAAAGCTTCCTTGGATTCTAATTTTGAGTCACACAAAACGCAATTGTATTGGCCTTTAGCACTCATTTAGGCGCGAATTCTTATTTCAAAAAGACATTAGAAATTACCGGACGTCTTTGCGCCAGGTAGTATAACATATAAGTTCTTCACGTTTTAGTATTCTATCGTAATAGGTATATTCAATTGATCACGATCCGTAACAATGTAATCGTCGTTTTTTTTTTTTAAAACATTATCGTTTCCCAATATATACGGCGTTCATTCGTGTTTGAATGTAAAAAATTTTATAGAACTCACGTCCGCGTAGAAAAATCAATTTTCGGCCATTTTATTGGATTGAAAGTCGCGCCACCTATCGTATACTACTCAAAAAGATACAAAACGATCTGTTTCTTTGAAAGAATGTTAACATATAGTAATTTAAAATTGAATAGCAGTAAATTATAAGAATATATAATTATAAAGGTCACGAAATTTTGATAAATAATTAATATAATTATTAATATAATATAATTTTACACAATTCAATTCCATGTAAAATATATGTATTTTTCTTATTTTAGAATACATATGAACCGTATATTCGTATTTTAATACACTTATCTCTTATAGAGATTTATATTCATATATCCGTATAATTTCTTTTCTCTAATACATTACAAGAAAACTAATGTTTATATATAAATATTTACTACTTTTCTGAATCATTACATGAAACAGAAATAAACTAGCAAGTAAACTTAAAAATATGAATATAACGTAATTGTCTGTCGCGTTGCGCAGTGTATGTGCATCACAATTATGTTACACATAAGAAACTAAAATTGGCTTTGGACAAGTTATAAATTTGTAATACTATTACCTTTGCATCGTTTAATTACTTTAAAAAAAAGTGACATTAACTGAACACACAGTGCGGAATCTACGGCATTATATTAAATTATAAGTCTACTGAATATTTAATATTAATTGTAAAATTTGATCTCATATAATGTATTAAATAGAAGTTATTACTTCATTGTAATTCCTGGTACAATGTAGGTGATGATTGCCCATCTGTTACGCCCTGAGCTGCTAGTTCAGCTAATGTTCTTTCGAGGTAACTTTTATCAGGGTAACCATGACCAGTTGTTGATGGTCCCAGTTCAGTCTTATGATGAATTTCATTCCATGTTACTACATCTTCTCTTCCAGTAGTTATCGATCGTCCGATTGTAAATATAAGTTTTCGTTCAAATGCAATTTGTAGCAATCTTAAAACTCTACGACCTAAATTATTATCTGGAAGGTAACATATACGTGGAAAGCCTACAGCATAATAAGCTTGACCAGGATTGGGATGTTCATTTCCTTGAATTCCTGATGGAATGCTGAAATTGAGCATTTATTTAAATGAAATAGTTATTTCTCAAATATATTGGGTGATCTGTAATTGCTGGACGAAATCCCTAATCTACTTACTCATAGGTTATCTGAATTGTATTTGTATTTGGAAAACCAGGCAGTGCTCGGAGTATTCTTGTCCAATTCATAGTTCCAGGAGGTTGATTTCCTCTTTTTTCACCATAAATTAAACGACAAACAGGGCACTGTATATACATAGGAGGTTGTTGACAACTAAGCATTGCATTCAAACATGCTAAATGTAATCTATGTTTACAGCGAGTTAACTCTACTGTTAGTGGCTCTGGCGTACCCAGACAGACAGGACAAGAGTCGCAATTATCACTTTCTACTACTTTCACATATTGGGAAATAACATCAGATTCAGTGTCTACACCTGAACAAAGTAAATTCATGTAATATGTTATATAAAACTATGAGAAAGTATGATAAGGGTAAAAGTAAATTAAAGGAAGTATGATAAATTACTCAAAATGGCATCTTTGAAAGCATCATCACTTCCTACACTGCTGTCCAATAAATCTATTGGATTTTCATGACTCAAATATGTAGAAACTGTATCAACGCTTGGCCTTCGTCCACTTTTTGTACTACTAGAATCTACATCCAATGCACTATCCCAAGTTTTTCTTTTTTGTCCAGATTCGATACTTGTAATTGAATTGTTATTTTCTATTCCATGTTTATTACTAAATATATTAAAATTACTCAAAATAACACGAGCTATGTTTGATGGACCGGTATCTCCACTTTTGCTCTAATAACATATGTAGAATTATCATCATATAATGATAATATAATATCATATTTATAATATTAGTAACAAGTGCTCTTTTTTACCTTTTTATTGTTCTTTTTTGTATTTCCAGTAGATGACTTTTTATGTGTGATTTTTGTAGTTAAATTTTTAACAATTGCAGATGTTGCTTTTATTTCAGAAATAGCTTGTAATTCTTCTAAAGCTACTTTGACTAAAGGATAAGGTGCTTGCTGAATACGTCGTATCGATCTTACATATCCAGTGCAACAACGAACTTGAGTCAAATTACAAAAATTTATGATATAAGGAAAACCTAAATAAGTCTTAGACACATCAATAGTTTTATCACCCTAAAATAAAAAATTAATAAAATTTTTATAATTATGATTAATTTATAACTTTTATTTTTCTTCATAATGTTCTTACTTACTCTTGCCCATGCTTCTTCTATCAAACATTGCACTTCCATATCATATGTATGCCAATCATCTGTGTCACCAGCCCACTCCCATTTAGCACCTTTACCAGCTGGAGAACTTGGAAGATAAAATTTTCTTCTAATATTATGCGTTTCATTCCCATCTTCACTACATTGTGTTTTAGTTTTTAAATTTATATAATACCTATTTAAAGCAATAGAAATATATTTTTTTTTGTATATAAATAAATGTTTTTTTCTGTATATAAATAAAGGTAAAAGTTTATTATATGTATTATATTATATACTAAAATTATATTTATATATAATATAATAATATTATATATTATTTATGTTACCATTATCAATTATCAGTATCCTGAAATATAAAACTAAATGAAATTATATTTCTTTTATGCTTTATACTTTTTGTTTTTTATAATCTTTTCCTGAAATCTTTGACATAAACATGTTTTATTTATATTTGTAGAAAAATGAGAAAGTTTTCAAGCGGACTTAGATATATCAGAATCTTTGGTTACATATATTAAATACAAACCTATCCAAACTAGGATCTGCATCATTCAGGAAAACCCGAGTTAATTTTTTACAATGTGCTCTCTCAAGATGTTGCGACACCGCAGGACTATAAGGTCTCCAACGTCCGTGACGATTTTCCCACTCCCACACAACAACAGCATGACCATGTTCTTGCGCCTGGGCGTTCATTTTCTTAAAAATTTACTTAAGAATTTCACATGCACGCGCAACACATATTTGCGCAATCAAAACGTGAAAACATTTTCAATTTTTTTGCATTCAGCCTAATTTATCTCACTACACAACACACGCGCCAACGTATATGTACATACAAATAAATTCATGTATATCACACCATTCATATTGTAATCTAAATTACAATATCAAAATATACAAATGAACTTTAATAATGAATTTAATAATGAATAACGATTTATCTACTGAATGAATTATATCAAATAAATTCTATTCCTTACTTCATATTATCTTGTTTGTAATAAATTAACGATTAATGAATAACGAATATAAGGCGAATAACTTCACCTGAAGTACGCGCAATTTTAAGCATCGAATAATCGCAATATCGATGATCGACTTTGAATAATCGTATTTAAAAATTCTTGTTACTTAAATTTACGTAAATGTTATAAAAGTTGGTTTAGGATACTTTGAATCATATATCTCACTATTTTTAATTAAAGTCATCATAATAGTTTGAAACATTTATACATATATATATATACATATGATATAATTATTTGTTTTCTGTTTTATTATTTATTGTCTCATTTATCTTTAATGATATCTTATAATAATACTTTATTAACTATTATACAATATTACTTTTATAAATCTAGCAAAAATTTTTATTGTTAACATTTATATAGTCTCCATAAAAATCTATATCTACTTGCATATATATGTATTATGTGTATTCATGATGTCAAATGAATGTTTGGTCAGAGCATCGTGTGTATACAATTATATCGTTTATGATTTATAAAAACTGTGATTTTTTATGAAGAAGACATTAATTTCAAATCAATACAATCGAGAGTAACACATAAACTTGTATATAATAAATAAATCATATTTCTTTGTATTATTATTGTGTAAAGGTTGTTCAAAGCATGATTAAATTATTTTCGTAAATGCAACTTACAACTTGCTGTAATAAACTTTAAACGAACTATGAAAATACTGAGAAATTAATTATTCGTATTACGAAAGATTAATAACTTGAGAAAGATATGCATATGTGTTAATGGATATGTTTGTTCTCTGAAGTAACGTGTAGGTTAGTTTTTGCAGTTTTTCAAGAAATTTCTAATTTCAACGAACATTCCAAGAATATGGATGTAGAAAAAGTTGCTGTATTTGCCAGTGTAGGATTCGCAATAGCCATTGCAGCATTTGTTATATGGGGTCCATCTCCTAAACCTCGAAAAAAAGGTATAGTGCGAAATATATTTAATTTCTTACAATTGTCCAGGAGAAAGATATTATATGTTATAATTTATGTATCCTTTTAGGAACAGTTATTGGAATCAATAATTTAGGATACACTTGCTTCTTGAATTCTCTTTTGCAAGCTTTGGCGGCTTGCCCAATTTTTATTGGATGGTTAAAGAAACAATATGAAGCAAATGGGAAAGTTAATTTCATTTCGACTTCATTATCTGTTTTTGAAAGTATGTTGTTAATTTTAACAAAATGTTCTTAATTTTATTAATTCTTTACTATAAAAATGATGACTGATATTTTATTAAGAAATAAATTATAGTAAGAATTTTTAATTCATTAAATTTAATTTACTAAACTTAAAGATTTATTCATTCAAATACTATAAATAATATATATATTATTATGGAATGTATATTATAAATTTTTTTTTGGATTAGAAATCAATGGATATACGGAAGATTTATATGGTGATGTAACACCAATTGAAATAATTTCTTCACTTGGTAGTCAATGGAAATTTGCACCTGGTCATCAGGATGTACATGAGCTATTTCATGTAGTTCTCAGTGCATTACAAGCAGAAATTCAACACGGAAATAGGGTATGCTTACAAACTAAAAGTTATCAAACTAAAGTTATATTGAATTGTTAAAAATACATTATTGCTTGGTATACTACATAATATATTAAGTAGTTTGAGAAAACTTCAAATTTATATGACATATTTTTAAATCTTTAAAATAAAAAGACTAAATAACAAGTTAAATATATCTACAACAAATGATTTCAGAAAGGTTGTTTGTCTGATGCTTTACCACAAAGTACAATAATGATAACAGATACAAAGAAATTGGGTGATCCTTTATCATTTAGAAGTGTATCTTGTAATGATATTGTATCAGCTAACAAAAGTCCTAACATTCCAAATGGTTTTGATAGAAATTGCAACAGTCATGTAATATCTTCGACGACGTCCATATCAAGTATTCCTATGGCATATAATAAGCCAGGTATAATCCTTGCTAGGTCTTCAGAACTACTTTCAAAAAATGTTGGAGTTGAGGAAAATAAAGAATCTCTTAAACCGTGGAACTCCTTATGTGCTATGTCATTTTCTATTGCTCCACCAATATCGATAGTAGTACATCCATTTTCTGGCTTATTAACTAGTCAATTACAATGCAGTTGCTGTAAATGGAAGGTTAGTCTTTTATTTTAATTAGAATTTTACTTTACTTTAATACAACATATTTAATTATAAAAAAATAAATAAGAATATCTTTTGTAGTCTGCAGTACATTATGACAAACTTGAAACAATTTCTTTACCTTTGCCTCCTTTGGGTCCACATATTAAATCATATCACACATTGGAAGAATTATTAACGCGTTTTGTAACCAGTGAAATTGTTCAAGACGTTTCATGTGACGGATGCGGAATGCGTTGTTTAGCTACTAAAACCTTAACTCTAGGCAAACTCCCTAAATGTTTATGTTTACATATATCAAGAACCACATGGAGCTCTTCAGGAATACCAATTAAGAGAGATGATCCAGTCAAATTTCCTGAAGTACTAACTTTAGATCCTTATACTTTTATAGAAACAAAAAAGCGAAATGCACGGGTATGATATACAATATAATGTATCAAATATATATGTTTGCTAATCACAAATTTAATATGAAATATGAATTGATAGGGCGATCCTGAAGCAACAATGTTACTTACTAATCGAACAACGCTACAAGATAAACATAAGTATCAATTGCGTGCGATTGTAGAACATCGCGGACCTGTTGATTCTGGGCATTTTGTTTGTTATAGACGAGGAAATAAAGCCAATCAGTGGTTGTATACTTCGGATAATGTAGTTGAGAGCATATCCTTGATTGAAGTTTTATGTGCCACACCATATCTTCTCTTTTACGAGCGTATTAATAGCATATAAGGATAGTTAGTAATCAATTTTAGTAACCGCAGGAAGTTTAGGAATGATGACTCAATATATTGAAATGATGTAATGATCATAATGGAATTTAAGAGACTGAATGTGTCTAATAATAGCTTTTATGTTCCTATTGCAAAACAGTTTAAATTACTTCAAATTATTCGTTAAACAAAGAGAACAAATACTTATATTTATGTGAATTTTTTATTTAATAGATTTCACATTTTCTGTATCACTTTATTTTCGTACAATGGTACATAAAAAACAAAAATAAAAAATATTTTTTTTGCTTATAATTTTGACATTATGATTTTCTAACTGAATGAAATAGTGCAAAATTTGAAAAAAATTTTTAAAAATTATATCTACTTAATAATTTATGTGCAACAAAACAAAATAGTCGACATTTAAGGGTAGCATCATAGAATATTGTGTATGTAGAATACTATAGTTATAGTTTGTAGAGGATTGCATTACTTGCTTGGTAAATTGCATTGTAATAGTGAAACAAAATCAAATTGTGCCAAATTAATCGTTTTTATATATAAACTTAAACTATTATTTTATACATCTGGAGCTTGAAAGTTTAATTCTGGATATGTACTTTAAATGAAATACATTTTCGTGCAATGAAAAAGTAATAAGTTGAGATTTTCAATAACTTGAACAGTGATAATTTTTATACCCTTGTATCATTTAACTCAACCCTTTGTATTATACCTAACTCTAATATGTAGTTTTCTACATCTAATCTAGTTTTTATAATAATTAAATTACAATATTACGTTAATGCTTGTTTATTAATAATATTCTTTATTTCTCCATCTGAAGCACAAATGTTTTGGAGAACCCATTCTGGAACAGGCGTACAACTGCCCATGGAGATTTTAAATTAATACCTGTACCTTGTAGCCATTCTGAATCCACAAGATTAAATAAAAAAATTACAATAATATCCACCACAGTGAGTGATTATATTTATTTTATTTTAAATTTATTTTAAAATATAAACTTTTATTATATGGTTGAAGATAAAGCAATAAAAGATACTAAATCTTAAATATTCAGATTTCAATTTTATAAGAAAATAGAAAAAATAGTCTTGCAAAATTGAAATTCAAATAGCTTTCAAACTAATCGTTTTCTCTAAAGATTTAAAAACGCATTGATCGATGTATAAATAAAAATATGTAGTTCGCTTTTTAAAATTGCAGATAATTCTGAAATTTTTCAAATGCCCTTAGATCCAGAGCAACTACTGTACCATGTAGTGCACCATTACTATTTTAAAAATATTTTAACTTTGCCTAATAAAATTTGCATATAGAAAAATTCTATACATATATGTATATAAATAATTATATAATACTTTGTACGATAAGTATATACATGAATTTTCGATTCGCTATAATACGAATAAAGATGAAATGCTAAAGAGTTGAATGGAGTTAAATAAGTATGAAGAAAATCGATCTGTTATGTATTGCTGAAGTATAGCGTTATGACATATTGACACAGCGGCGTGCAACATGAGCACGGTCTCGGTCGTAGATACAGGTGTGCAAACTTTCGTGGTAGGGTAAGATTCTTTGTGACCTGGTAATGTTGATCGATTTGTCCGCAGCAAGGCGCTCCAATCGAGAAGTTAGAATTTGTTGTGTAACGCCATTATGTAAATATAGTCCGGGTCTAGTTGCCTCTGTCTGTTTCTCTCTCTCCTTAGTGCATGTATAACTTTACACTGAGCAAATTAAAAAAGACTTTATATGCCAGCGCCGTTGATGTATTACGAAAAAATAGCGCGAAGTTAAAAAAGTCGAATGTATATAGACTAAAATAATAGTGTTAGTGAAATAAATATACAAGTTTAATATGAAAAAATATGAATATATGAAGTAATGATTAATGAAGTTCACAAAAAGGGAAAGGTGAATTTAAAATATTTGCAAACATTTTTGTCGTTTGTTTTATTCTTATGGATAAAGATATAGGTATGTATTTCTCACATTTCAAGAGAAGCATTAAATTAAATTAAATTCAGTCATATATTATTAAAATAGATTTATTAGTTTTTTTATAATTCACAATATATTACTATATGAAGAATAGAAATATGTAGAATAGAATTG